CTTTATTCGTCCGAAATGAATATTCTGCTTTCAGCAGTATAGGCTAAATACCAAATATTTGTATGCTGCATCTCTAATTTAGTAGCAGCAATTACTGTTATTTTTGAAAATTTAATTTTTCTTATAATTTTACAGTGTTGAGCATAATCTTGTATCTATTCACAATTTAAAAACTCCTTGAAAAACTTTTTTGCAATAACCGGACCATTTTTGCACAAATTCACAAAAGCAGGACCCTGGTTAAAAGAATGTTACTTAACGTTTATTTCATATTCACAAATTACGAGCAATTTTTTCACAATTTTATAAAAACAAGACATTTCACAAAATGTCTGGACAGACCCCTGATACAATATTATTTATTACAACTTAATCTCAAAACGAAACACGCATTTGAGGAGTCTGATTTCTGTGATTCCGTCAATCTTTTTTTCAGCAATTACTACTACGGATTTCATGATTTTTAATCATTTTTTTATTGTGATGATAATTTACAAATTGTGAAGAAGGAAATAATTTCAGCATACCCCCCCAACAAAATGCGAGAATATCACCCATAATATTAGAATAAAAAATTACTACATGTTCAATTTAAAAAAATTATATATACAGTAGAGTCCCGATAATCCGAGCCCCGGTTATCCGAGTTTCCGCTTTAACCGAGCTATCAAATATTTTAAGTTTTTTCTATGTTCTAGTTTATTTTTAAAAATATCGCCGAAAAATAAATCTGAATTTTATCTCCCAAACACTCGGGAAAACAAAATCTAACAACTTGATCCCATGAAATGATCATTAATATCGCCAATAATGAAAATGAACCTAGCGAAGATGATGAAGACAGTGACGATGAAAATCAACATATAAAAATCTCTCACACAGATGAACTTAAAGCTGTCGAAAATGCTACTGAATACATAGAACAACAAAAAGAGGCGACACCAGCCTTCCTGTTATCCCTAAAAAATGGCGAAACATTGATACAGAAAAGCACCAAAGTTATGTAAAACAAAAAACGATTAAGGACTTTTTTTAAATAATAACTCTTTAATTCTCGCAAAGTATACTTTTTAAGTTTTTTCAAGTAAGCTTTTCAATAATAATAGGAAATGTATGCGGTACACTCGTATAAATTTTATATTTCTTAAATATATTATATTTATACCAACTCTTTTTCTTTCTTTTTTTATACTCTTCGTTTTAACCGAGTTTTTCAGTTATCTGAGTTAGTCGTGGTCCGCATTAACTCGGATAATCGAGACTCTACTGTAGTTTTAATTTTTTGTTGTGAACACATCGCTTTTGTTATTTTAAATTAGTGACCTATATGTTTGTTATTAATAAAAGTATCTTGCACAAAGATATTAGTGCTAGAGAGGTTTGTCATAGATAGTCCGTAATTATTCCTAACATTAATGTTTACAGTTATCTTTTTGTTATACTGACATCTGCTTCCATCTTCTTCTCAGAAAATACTTGTTAGTAATTTTATAAGCTAAAAGTATTAAATATTCCCTCTGATTAATATGCAATGCTTATTTTATCACTTCCTTTTAAATGTAATTTCTTTCCTTACTAAGTGACTGGAGTCTAAGTTTTTTCTTGTTTTTTAAAATTTCCTTTTTGTAAGCTAGTTTTACAATTAATTGTCAATTCAACTTTTTTTGTTAATTTTTCACCTTACATATCCATCTTTTTGGCCCTAAAGCTGAATCTTATATTGTTTATTTTCAATGGATTGTCCTTAGTAAATGATTATTTTCAAATACAATTATTTTTTACTATTTCCTCCATTTGTTTTAAAATTATTATTAGTTTTAATAAATCATTAATTTCAGCACATGAATTCCAATTAATTGACTGTTCTACATGCAATTAATTGGATGTTATTGATTGCATGTTATTGATTGATTACTTACAGTTGAACTTAACTTCATTTTATTCTGTAGGGTAATTTCGTTTCTGATTGCTTGGTCTAATATACAGAGAAAAATCCCCAAGTTTTAATTCATGCGTAGTAACTCATTTATTTATGAAAACTAAACCCCAATTTTTCTTACCATTCCTCATTTGTGCTTAACTTGTGATTAAAAACAGTATAAAATCAGTATTTATTGTGGCATTTACTCCATTAATGTCGCACTTTTAACGAAGTAGGTTTAGTTTGAATTAATTCAAATTCGTATATAATAGCATGATTTTTAAAGATCCACTGTAACTTCCAATTTATTTAGTTATTGATAATCATTTAGTTATTGATAATTATTTAGCTTTAATTTCATTCCTTCATTTTAGTAAGATTTTTCATATCTTGTCAGGTAATATAGTTAAAATTCATATGATATTTGGCCAGACACTCAAGTTATGAAACTGAGGATATTAAATTCTTTCTTCCTCAATAATTTGAATTAAGTTTTGAAGATATTTTAATATTATATCAGGTTGTAAACCAAGCTTGGGATTTCTTTTGAAAAAAGGATATTTTTTAAAGACACTGAAAAAAAAAGAAGTAAATAATATTTAAAAATAACAAGTACAATTGTTTAACAATAAGTATTAGCTTAAATTTAAACACAAAAAATTTAATGAAATACAAAAAAAATCTGAAAGTTTCTCTTCATATCTACATCTTTTAAAAATAACTGTTTTCTTACTTTAATTTTATACAAATTAACATCGATTTGTCCTATTATAATGTTTAATTTTAATAATAAAATATGTCTTACTTTCCTAAATAAACATAAATGTGTACTCTTTGTATCTAGAAAAATTATGTGCATTTATTTATTTTTCTTAGCTTACATATTCCATTTTTTAAAAAAAATTCATTGTTTAGATTAAAATTACACACTTTGGTAAAATTAAGTAAATTAATGATTAAGAATAAATCCATTCTGATTACTATTAATGTTTACTTTGATAACATTATTCTCAATTGGTTAAATCTTTAATAGTGTGTTTCCTTAGGAGGGGAGAAGAGTACATCAATGAATTTTTTAATGATTTTTAATTTTACAATAACTTTCTTAACTAAATATATTATTTAAAAATGTATTTTTAATGTTCACTTTCTCAGAATTTTCAATTTAAAATATAAAACAAAAAAAAACTTGTAATTTAATTGTCAGTTAATAATTTTTTTTTTGTCTACTTTTTTAAAAATTTATACACAGTGATTGTCTTTTGAAAAGATTGAAATACATTATATTGATTGAAATATATAATATATTGATTGAAATTGAATGAGAGTTTGAGGTAATATAAGTTGTTTATACTATTTAAAGTAGGCAATCATTCAATTTAGTTATTTTAAGAAAATTATTTTGTTTTCCCTGAAAGTGTTTTACATGAATATTCATATCTTTACTAACTCACTAAGTTACACAATTAATGCTATTTTGGTAAATCTTTTAATTGCATATTATGTTTATTATATTGTTATTTCACTCCTATGATTCTTTGAAAAAATAAAATTAAACAAATTAATGTTTTCAACATTAAAATTACTATGCAGGGCACTAAATACTTACTTAAAGCTATTGGACAAGTAAAAAATTATCCTTATCATACAACATTTAGCTAAACCTAACCAAATTACCCGCTTTACCCCATTTAGAAAAGAATTTATAATAAATAGAATTTTAAAATTAACTTTTAGATTTCTATGTAAATCTGTTCTTTAGACATCACTCAACTAGTTTGAACAAAAAAATAGTTTTAGCCAATTTTAATGATATTAGAAGAAAATTCATCAACAGCTTTAGTAAAAATAATGTATCAGTTGATTGTAAACAAATAGCTAGTAAATATTGAATTTTTTATCAGTTTCTAAATCTGAAATAAAATTGCTTGTCACAATCCCAATTAAAGCCTTTCAAAATATTAAACAAATTATCTCAACTTAAAAGGAGAAAATAGATGCTTTCTTAACATACTCCACCTGACCTTACTATTTAGGATCAAATTCAGTTATTACATATTTTGATAAACTTAAAACAGTGGTAAGTGAATGCTTTCTCAAACTTCCAAGTTCCTTTTTCTGTGAGGAAGCACTATGCCTTTTTTTAATCCTACGGAAAACACTTCCTTTATTTTAAAAAAAAAACAATCCTCCCAATCGAAAACATAGCCAATACATTATCTATCTAATGAATAAAATTTAGCTTAAATGAGAAAATAGAATTAAGTGTACAAATTATTTCCTACCTTAAATTTACTTTAACTATTTGCCACTTAAAAAAGTCTTATACACAAAAAATATTGAAAGCACCTTTTGTTTAGCATTGCAAGTGAGATGTCACCAAAAAATATAGACATCTACCAACTTTTTTTTTACTGTTCTTTTAATTTTATTTACATTTTAAACATTAACATTGATAAAAAATCAAAATACTAAAAGGTAAAAAAAAAAATAGTTGAATTGAAAAGTACCAGAGAAAATTTCTAAATAAAGTGGAAGTGTAAAATAATTGAAAATTAATATACCAATTCAGAAAAAAATAAATCTAATTTATCATAAAACACTTAAAAAGTGGCATTTGTAATCTTACCTTCCTTATTAAAAGTTTTACCTTAAGTAATAACAGAAAGTTATTTTGTTTGAAAATCTAATATGAATTGATGTCTTAAAACTGAAATCAAAGAATTATAATACAATATTCAGTAAAAAAATATTTCGTCAATATATATTTAATAGATTAATATTTTTTTTTAATTTTTAATTAAATTCGATTATTAATTTTTTTTTAAAATGGACACAAGAATAGTAGAATAATATGACTTCTTTAGTCATGCTTACATGCCACTTAAAATGACCATTGCCTTGTATGGTAATGTTTTAAAGGGTGTGCCACTTACCCTCATAAGGACATGTTTAATTACAACGTAAGCTGCAACACTATCGAAAGAAATGGATTTTATCTCATGTAAGGCGAAAAATGTAAATAAAATTTCATGAGTTTAAAAAAGTTAAACTATGCATAAAAAATACAGCTACTCACCAGTCAATTGATCATCACTAAATCCGGCCTGAAAGAGACAGAAAAAGAAATACAGCAAAGTTCAAACTTTAGAAAAAGAAAACTTTAAGTTAAAAAAACAAACATAGATTATACTAACCATTTTTTATTGTATTCCTACTAAACACAAAAATTTATCAAAATAATTAAGAAAAATTATTCACAGACTGTGTGATCCTTCACAATGAATAGGAATGCTCAACTGTTAACAAACTGTCATCAAAATATCTGCTGTCGCCTCTACCTTACCTTTCAGCTATTGCGTCTCTTATTACGTAAAACTCGCCTTCTATAATGTGATTGGCTAATACCTTTAATGGGATCTTGGTGAACAAAGAGCACAAGGCGACCTCATATCAACAGAAAGTTGCTTCCCCAATCATGGTTGCAGGGAGAAAAGTGTTGAACCAAGCAGTCTCCTCAATTCTGCTTTTTACATGCAAAGTCTATGGCGGGCTTGTCATACTTTGAATAAATTTTTCTTGTTTAAGAATCGGAGTGACCAATTCAAAAAAAAATACTAATAATTTTTTCAATCTTTCCTATCCACGAAAATGTAGGTCAATTTTTTTATCTTTATTACTCAAGTCACTTTCATCAAGTCACTTTTTTACTCAAGTCACTTTTTTATCTTTATTACACAAAGCCTTTGAAACTCAAGTCACTTTCGACCTTTGAGTAAGGGAGGAAGGCAACTTCCATCCCCGAGTTCATTCTCCAAGAGACGATAGCGGTCTAATCTTCTCCATAGGTAGTCTTGCGCCCTCCCTCCCAAATACTTTTACTCTGTTCAACTCTTTTTGAAAATCTTTTTCTCTCTCTGTCCAGTCCTTTTGAAGAACTGCTTTTGATAGCTTACTTTCTATTTATAAGCTTGTAATTTATCATGAAAATTACATTCGCTGATAATTCGTTCATTCTATATGCATTTTACTTATTTAGTAGTAATAATTTTCTTGTTTTTATTCATTTCGAGAGGGAATTTATTTTTTAAATACATTATTCCCCTTTTTTTTTTAACCTTTTTCCTTGTTTTTTAAAGATGTTTCAGAATTAAAAAATTTAGCTTCTGAATAAGGTGAGATTAATTAAAACCGAGACAATGTCGTAAAGATCTTCCAATATACTATAAGGCATCACAAAACTGCAGTTTTCCTTCTTTTTTAAAAAATATATCGTACACTAATTTGAAGGTTGAAAAAAACATTTACATTAAAAAAATTTAAAAAGTTGCAATTTTTCCATTCCATAAGTAGTTTTAATTACTCCAATAGCTGGGATAGTTTGTTTTTCCACGGTAAGGGAAAAAAAGCAGCTTGTACACAAGACCACACATCATCCATACATGAGCAAGCACTTAGCCCTGTTTTTAGGGCTTTAATGTAAATACGCAAGAACACTAAAGTAATATGAAATTTTTATTTAAATCAGTCAATGAAGAAAAATATGAAAATATGCGAATGTATTGTAAAATTCTTTTAAAAAAAAGGAAGTAAAAGAACATTAGTGGACATAATTAATATTCACAAGAGAAAAATACAAACGGTATCAAAATATAATGAGTCGCCGCTTAGGAACGCAACACTGAAAGTATTGAAACTAATTTGATTGCCAGATGAAATAGAACGAATGAGAAATTTGATTATTATGGATGGGTGGCCTAATGTAAATAATAACAAGCGTCCTTAACCGGAACAAATTTAGAAAATTTCCGGTGTATCCCTCCGCTTATGTTATGACTACGACACCTCAAGCGTTATTATATTGCACTAGAGAAAGGTTTTGACCATTTCGTGGTCGATCGATAGCTAGGAAAATTGTTCATAAATGCATAGTTTGTTTTAAACATAAACCCTTTGTTACAAATCAGCGTATGGGAACCTTGCCTCGAGAAAGAGTAAACCCTAATTATTCTTTTTTGCACTCTGGTGTTGATTATTGCGGCCCTTTCCAAATTAAATATAAACACCAGAGAAAAGGGAATTTCCAACGGATTTATGTTGCAATATTTGTGTGTTTAGCCTCGAAGGCGATTCACTTAGAAGTGGTTTCCGATTTAACAACCGATGCTTTTCTTGCTACCTTAAAGCGTTTGTGGCTAGGCGTGGCAAATGTGCTACAATATCATCTGATAATGCAAAAAACTTTGTTGGGGCTAGTAGGGAATTGAAGCGATTGCAGGATTTAACAAGATTTCCTGACGAAAAACTAGCATCCTATTTGGCATCTGAAGGGATAGTTTGGAATTTTATTTGAATAAAATCCCAGAGCTCCATATTTCGGGGGCCTCTGGGAGGCAGGGATCAAATCCTTTAAGTTTTACTTAAAACGAGCTACAGGAAATCTAAAATTAACATTTGAGGAATTCCTTACAATAACAACACAAGTCGAAGGAATCCTAAATTCTCGGCCATTAACACCTTCATCAGATGATATTGATGACTTGGATGTTCTAACACCAGGGCATTGTTTGGTTGGAAGATCTATAACTGCCATATCTGAACCAAGTTTGTTGGATAAATCGGAAACCCGACTTTCTCGATGGCAAAGGTTGACAAAAATTGTTCAATACATTTGGACTAAGTGGTCTCGCGACTACCTAAACAGTTTGCAACAAAGAACAAAATGGAAAGTAGAGAAAACCAACATAAATTTAAATGCGATGGCTTTAATAAAGGAGGATAATCTTCCTGTAAATCAGTGGAGCTTAGGACGAATTTTAAAGCTATTTCCTGGAACGGATGGAAAGGTCACAGTAGCCGAGATTAAAACAAGCAAGGGGATTGTTAAACGTAGCATTAGTAAGTTGTGTATTTTGCCATTGGACAATTAAGAAAAATTTATGTTAATTTACTCGTTATGTGTACCTACAGCGTTTATTCAATCTTTGTAAATTTTATATTGTAATATGTTTATGTACTATTGTTATGCTAATTTGTATGTTTATTGAATATAATTCAACGGTGGATGGATGTTCAGTATCTCAGAAATATAGCGCCAACTTGGCATCTTTGTCTTAGCATCCTCGCCACCGTTTCTTGTAACCCCAAACAGTTGAAATTTAGTTGTTGATCTTATAGCAATAGTGTGCTCGTAGCACCGATGATAATAAAATCTTAAATACAGTCCAATCGCTATTTTATTCATTGTTATCAAACGAACCCAAGGGCGGCGCCAGTAGGGGGTCAGGGGGGGGGGGGTGGG